GGATGATCCCAAAAAACATGTGAGTAAAAAGATGTCAGGTGTAACAGAGTACATGGCTGCTTTACACTTCGTCTGTAGCCAACAGGTCTGAGAGCGATAATGCCTGGTTTTAGTTTTTGTAAGTTTTGAGGACAAGTCTCTGTTGCTGAGGCTTGACTGCAATGGGTGTGATCTCCACTCACTGTAGCCTTGACCTTTCGGGCTCAAAGCGATTCTCTCACCTCAGCTCCTGAGTAGCTGGACCCCCAGGCACGAAGCTGACATGCCTGGCCTTTTTTTTTTTTTTTTTTTGTTTGACAGAGGTTCGTTCTTGTTGCCCAGGCGTAGGAGCTACAATGGCGCGGTCTGCAGCTCGGTGCAACCTCACCTCCGGGATTGCGAGCAATTCTCATGCCCTCCAGGCCTCCGGATTAGTAAGCGTGGGATACCGGCAGGTGCGGTGCCCGGGCTATATTATATTTTTTTCAGGTAGAGAGCGGGTTCACTATGTTGGAGTAGGCTGGCTCTCGAACTGCCTGACGCTCAAGTTGATCCACCCGCGGCTCGCGCCCAAGGGCTGCGGAATACAGGCATGAGCCACCGCCCATGCCCCGATTCTATTTTGTGTTTGTTTGTTTGCAGAGACGGGTTTCACCATTGTTGGCCAAGGTTGGTCTTAAAAAAACTCCTGGGCTCAAGCGATTTGCCCACTTCGGCCTCCCAATAGTGCTGGGATTAGGCATGAGTCAGTGCGTCCGGCCTACATGCCATTTTAAAATGATGTTCAAGAATAAGCAAAACCAACCTATGGTGGTAAAAGAACAGTGATCGCCTCTGTTTTCTTTTGCCTGAGAGAAACTCTGTTGTGTTGAAAATGTTCTGTATCTGAAGTGGTGGTGGTCACATAAGCTGTACATTTAAGATATTTGCACGTTGTGTGTAAACCATAATTCCAACAACAACAACAAAATGGCAAGGTGGGGCTCGGTAGCTCACGCCTGTAATCCCAACACTTGGGAAGGACTAGGTGGGAGGATCGCTTGAGGCCAGGAGTTAGATAGAGACCAGCCTGGGCAACATAGGGAAACTCGGTATCTACAAAACAATAGCAACAATTAGCGGGGCGTGGTGCGCCCGCAGCCTGTTGTCCCAGCTGCTCCAGAGGCCCAGGCGGGATGATCGCTTGAGGCCAGGAGTTCTTGGCTACACTGAGCCGAGATCGCCACTGCACTCTAGTATGTTAGATCCTGTATGGGGGGGTCGGGGTGAAGACAGTTAAACTACGCCTTTAATTCAATAAACTATTAAACTAAAAATACCACGAAGAAAATCAGAATAAAGAAGAAAGATAGACTGAGTCAGGAGAATCGCTGGAACCGGGAGGCGGAGGTTGCAGTGAGCCGAGATCGTGCCACTACACTCCAGCCTGGCGACAGAGCGAGACTCCCAAAAAAAAAAAAGAAAGATAGGCTGGGCGTGGTTATTTAGTAATCCCAGCACTTTGGGTGGCCGGGGCGGGCAGATCACCTGAGGTCAGGAGATCAAGACCAGCCTGGCTAACATGGTGAACCCGTCTCTACTAAAAATACAAAAATTGGCCGTGCACTGTGGCTCACGCCTGTAATCCCAGCACTTTGGGAGGCCGAGGAGGATGAATCACCTGAGGTCGGGAGTTCGGAACCAGTCTGACCAACATGGTGAAACCCCGTCTCTACCAAAAATACAAAATTAGCCGGGTGTGGAGGCGAATGCCTGTAATCTCAGCTACTCGGGATGCTGAGGCAGGAGAATCGCTTGAACCTGGGAGGCGGAGGTTGAGGTGAGCCGAGGCCATTGCACTCCAGCCTGGGCAACAAGAGCGAAATTCCGTCTGGAAAAAAAAAAAAAAAGAAGAAGAAGAAGAAGAAGAAATTAAAGACGTAGAAAAATAAAAATGAGTCAAAAACAAAAAACAAAAAACAAAAAACAGCGAGTTCTTTGCAGATATGATTAAAATAGAGCAACTAATAGGTTTGGGGACCATCTGGGTTCCATCAACGATTCTTGTGCCTTTTGTCTTGAAACTTTGGTGCTGCATTCATCAAAATCATACTAATGAAATTCGATGCGCGGGTCATTCATTCAATTAAAATGAAACCCTAAATCTGCTGACTATTGGTATCCTCATGGCACTGTTCTATAATGTGACAGAAAAGACGAAGGTGAAGAACTATGGTTTTGGCCGCTGTTACCCAGGAGGTAGCAGGTGGCAGGCCGTTTACACAAATTAACTCGTTTTTGCAGACGAAGTTACCCTAGGCTGCCCGCTCGGATGAGCCTGCGAATTCAGGCCCGACCCAGGCCCCTCCAGGTCAGGAAGGTACGAAGAGCCCGCTGGATTCACACAAGGCAGGGGCGCCTTCGCAGGTGCGAGTGGATTCTGGGTATCGCGAGCGTAGGCCGGGCGCAGCCCCTCTGGGCCTGCGGGACTGAACAGGCAGGTGCGTCCCAGCGGCCGGGCGGGCCAGGTCTCCCTCCTGCGGGCAGGCGCCTGGCTGCGGGACGCGGCGGGCGGAGCGGGGGAGCCGGGCGCAGCGCCCCCTGGGCCTGAAGACTGGCGGGCGGCGGGGGCGCGCGCGGGCCAGCGGGGGCGCGCCGCGCTGCGAGGCCTGCGCGCCAGGCTGCGGGAGCCATGCGGCGATCGAGGAGCTCTGCGGCCGCCAAGCTGCGCGGGCAGAAGCGGTCCGGGGCCTCCGGGGCCTCCGCGGCCTCCGGGGCCCCCGCGGCCGCTGCCTCGGCCCCCAGCGCCATCCGCACACGGCGCTCCGCGAGCCAGGCCGAGAGCAAGAGCCAGGCGGCGGCGAAGCCGCCGTCGGAGAAGCCGCGGCTGAGGCGCTCGTCGCCGCGGGCCCAGGAGGAGGGCCCGGGGGAGCCGCCGCCGCCGCCGGAGCTGGCGTTGCTCCCGCCACCGCCGCCGCCGACTCCCGCGACCCCGACGTCCTCGGCGTCCAACCTGGATCTGGGCGAGCAGCGGGAGCGCTGGGAGACGTTCCAGAAGCGGCAGAAGCTCACCTCCGAGGGCGCCGCCAAGCTCCTGCTGGACACCTTGTGAGTGCGGCGGGCCGGGACGCGCGGGAGCCGGTGCCACGCGGACCCCTCGGCAGGAGTCGGGCTCGCCGCCCGCGCGCAGGCCTTGGGCGCCTTTCAGCTCTGATCCTTCCACGTTACGGAGCCGACGCGGCTCCCCCGTTAGCACTGGGGTGGTTCGCTAATTCTAAGGGCGGCGGGGCGGTGCTTCTAGGGCTGTGGTCCGGGAATTGAAAGGGGGCTTCGTCCGGAGCTTGAGGGCGCGCGCGGCCGTCTTGGGACACAAAGGGTCTTTCCCGGCCACAAGCATCGTGCTCGGGGACGTTGTCTCTTGCTGGCGCGCAAAGGGTGTGGGGGCCTTTCCTAATGAAAAGAAGATATATCCCACGGCTTTCTCTTACCCGAATCCCGTTTTTTTATGTTTGCACACGTGTTTTTGAGGGTGGGTGGAAGGGAAAGGTAGAATCGCTGAAGGAAGCATGAGTAGTTTTGAACTAACTGGGAAGCGAAATCCCGTCATTGTTCCAGGCACTGCCAGGGAGGGAGCAGGGGGCGGGGGTTATTGATCCGGGAGAGAAGCGCGCGCAAAGAGATGCTCCGGCGGCGGCGGCGGGGATGCCTGCACAAGGAGGCTTTTATGTGCTCCGCCAGCTAATGCTCCCGGCCGCTCGTCGTCCTGGCTGCTCCGCAGTCTTTTAGATGGCCCAATGAGCATCCCGAGTGTCCGCAAGTTAGAAAAGAGCTGTTAACTGGGCTGTTAAAGGGCTGCCTTCTTTTCTCCAAATGTGATCTGGATTCCTGCCTCGGGGAAAAGTTGTGCTACGGAGAGGTATTTTAACGGCCTGATAATGTATTTCAGTGTTAATTTTACGAATTAAAAAGAACAATCAAAACACTAGGGGGAAAGACCGACAAGAATAACCTAGCAGTTGCATAACCTGAGAATTACTTTTCTTGAACATGTTCCTTTGAGCTGCTTGCAGAAGAAATTCTCTTAGTTAGGATGGGTCGTCCCCGACAGAAGATATATATTTGGTTTTCTGTGTGCTTCATACATATTTGGTTTTCTCTGTGCTTCACTTTTTGGTTTTTCATCTTGGACTGCACACTGAATATTTAAAAAACGTTCATCCATCGAACATTTTTTGAGCACCTATGGGGTAACGGCTGCCTCTGGGCAGAAGGAATATGAAGATCCTTAGGAATGTAAAACTCATGGTGTCTTCAAGGCATACAGAAAAAGAAAAAAAAAGGAATGTAAAACTCAAATTTGAGGTAAATTTTTACTTTAAGACAAACTGATAAATGGTCAAGAAAAAGATTTAAAATAGTGACATAAAAGAGATGTTTTTCTCCCACTAGATTGCCATGACTTTGTACTTATAAAGTCCACTAAATTATATTCAAAAAGTGTGTATAACTGTACCATTTTCGTTAGAATATTGTGTAGAAAAAAGTTTGGGAGAATATATAGCAAATAATGACCTGTAGATCCCTCTGGGGGTAAAGATTACAGGAGGCCTTCACTTTGAGCACTCTCAGATACTGTAAAGTTTGGAGTTTTTACAATAAGCATTATGTATGCCCCCAACATTAAAATACATAAACTTGTAAAGAAACATGAAAAAATGATCAGTCTTAATCATGCAAATTAAAACTGCAGTGAGCTATTTTTCCTATGATTATTGCCGGAGACTGTACTGTGAAATGTTTTCTCATTTGTATATCGGGTAAGAGTGTTCAGTCCTTTTGGAAAGCGATTTTATGACATTTATCAGATCTTAATGTTCATTTCTGAGTTTGGCTTATATATAAGCTTTAAAAGGATTAAAATGGTATATAGGCCAGGTGAGGTGGCTCACGCCTGTAATCCCAGCACTTTGGGAGGCCAAGGCGGGCGGATCACCTGAGGTGGGGAGTTTGAGACCAGCCTAACCAAATAGAGAAACCCCTCTCTACTAAAAATACAAAATTAGCCAGGTGTGGTGGAGCATGCCTGTAATCCCAGCTACTCTGGAGGTTGAGGCAGGAGAATTGTTTGAATACTGGAGGCAGAGGTTGCAGTGAGCAGAGATTGTGCCACTGCACTCCAGCCTGGGCAACAAGAATGAAATTCTGTCTCAAAAAAAAAAAAAATTGTATATAATGTGTATTACAACTATATAAAACGCATGTGTATGAAGAATAGTGGAAAGAAATAGAGTAAAAATATGAGCCTTTATTAACTTTCTCAAAAGGCTCTTCGGAACCTCTGGACTTGATTGAGTACCCAGTCTTAATTTTCATAGCAGCCTGTACCTCCTTTATCACAATCATAATTAATTATTATTTGAGTAATTTGTTAATGTCAGTAAGGGCAGCAATCGTGTCTGCTGTGTCTTGTTTACTGTTCTCTCCTTCGTGCCCAGCTCATAAAAATTTTTAGTATTTGAGGATGGGAGTGGTGGCTCATGCCTATAATTCCAGCACTTTGGGAGTCCAAGGTGGGTGGATCGTGAGGTCAGGAGTTCAAGACCAGCTTGGCCAAGATGGTGAAACCCTATCTCTACTAAATACAAAAATTAGCAGGGTGTGGTGGCAGGCATTTGTAATCCCAGCTACTTGGGAGGCTGAGGCAGAAGAATTGCTTGAACCCAGGCAGCAGAGGTTGCAGTGAGCCAAGATTGTACCACTGCACTCTAGCCTGGGCAATAGAGTGAGACTCCATCTCCAAAAAAAAAAAAAAAAAAATTTGTATTTGACATATAAATAAAAATGTTTGGTAGTGGGTTAGGATCCCTCACATTTTCGAAATGTTTGGAATGTTCTATTTTGCAACTTAATACAATTTAAGAAATTGGAGAAAAGAGAGCTCATAAAGAAGGTGCTGAAAACATTCTTGACTTAGAAAATTGACAGTATCTCCTTAAAAGCAGAAGTGCATTTGGTTGTCATGTAGAAAAGACTTTTGTCTAATCTTACGTCTTTCATTCAACAACGAAAATAAAGAGAGCAGGAGGTAGCTATTCAGAAATTCTTATCTTTCTGATTTTTGTTTCATTTAGTGAATACCAGGGCCTGGTGAAGCACACAGGAGGCTGCCACTGTGGAGCAGTTCGTTTTGAAGTTTGGGCCTCAGCAGACTTGCATATATTTGACTGCAAGTGAGTATTCTTTTTCCCCCTAAATTGACTTAAAAGAATTTCAGAGTTAAAATGCAGTATTTCAAAATAATCTGGGGAGTTGGGGTACAGAGGAAACATTGGCCATGGGCTGGTAACTGCTGAAGTCAGGTGATGGGGACAGAAAGGTTCATTGTTCTATTCTTTCTCCTTTTGTGTGGCTCACCACAGAGCTTCAACAGCATGGCCCAGGTGAGACAGAGCAGGGTCCTCAGGGCTTGTGACTTGTGGCAGCGTCACCCTCAGACTGACACTGCTGAGGAGCCGGGGGCGGTTAGCTGCAGGTGTGCCTGGCTGGGTACTGAATGGAAAGCCTTGGGCAGAATCTTCGTAGGAGTCTGGAGTTGGGGATAATTGGAGGGTGCTTTAGTGAAGGGTGTGTACACCTAGAGGCTCCCCAGGCCCTACACTCTCGCTCTGCTCTTTGGTTGAGGCAGATGGTGCTGCTGGCTGTGGAGGGCCTGATTTGTACCACCTTCCCCGGCATTATGATGGAGCAGGGACGACAGGCTCTGGCTTTGGGACCCAAAGTTGGCATGCAGCTAATTATTTAACAGCATCCAGTCCTTTTTGCCCCTAGGTACCGGAATTATATATGAATAATAAGCACATACGATGGAATTACTCAAATGGAGAACTGACCAGGCTACTAACAATAGAGTCCAGATTGGAAAAGAAGCACTGTGGAATAACTTGTGAGAGGATTCTATACTAAATTAGAACTTTTTCAAAGGTGGCCTGAAAAGAGGGGACTTCAGTTTAATTCCAGAGATGGTAATTCTGGGGACGTGTTTTACTTGGAGCTGGACTTTTTGTGACATGGTGATGAAGAAAGAGGGCAACCTAAACATCCTTGTCCATTTTTGATGTGGATGTCTCAGAGACATCAGGTTGTAGAAGTGTCTGAAATTTGTTTTCTAAGTGTCTCTGAAGTCCAGCGATTCTCCTTCACTATAAAGAACTGGGGGGTGGGCAGTACAGACATGTCTGTTGGTCCTGTGTTCTGAGCATTGCGGAGCCTCGACTGCTGACTTGGGACCCCCCTGGGCTCTGCTGTACCTGCAAACCAGAGGCCCTGGATATCCAGGCCTTTGCCCCAGCTCCTCAGCCCTGGATGGTACTGAAAAGAGCCTTATCTGTGGGGTCGGCCTGGCTCTGAAAACGTATCAGGCTGGGCTGCTCAGGCACAGAGGACGCAGGTGGCTGCTCACAATCTGGAATTTGCTCTCTTTCTGTAGCTGCAGCATTTGCAAGAAGAAGCAGAATAGACACTTCATTGTTCCAGCTTCTCGCTTCAAGCTCCTGAAGGTCAGTGCTTAAGAGCAGGGTCAAGGAGTGCAGAACCCATTGGTGAGATTTACAACACTCCCCAACGAACCCTCAGCATGCCCTCTGTAGCATGGGAGGGGCCTGGAGCTTAGCAGGGCCTCTCACGGGTTTGGTTTCAGAATGACATTTAAAAGGTGGGCTGGGCGCAGTGGCTCACGCCTGTAATCCCAGCACTTTGGGAGGCCAAGATGGGTGGATCATCTGAAGTCAGGAGTTGAGGACCAGCCTGGCCAACATGGTGAAACCCTATCTTTACTAAAAATACAAAAATTAGCTGAGCATGGTGGCGCATGCCTGTAATCCCAGCTACTTGGGAGGCCACGACAGGAGAATCACTTGAACCTGGGAGGCGGAGGTTGCAGTGAGCCAAGATCGCGCCATTGCACTCCAGCCTGGTTGATGAGCGAAACTCCATCTCAAAAAAAATGAAAATAAAAAATAAAAGGTTGTGTTATTTTTTACCTTTATTTTTTGGAGGCCTATTTGGTATTGTGGAAACATTTTCAAATTCAGAGAATCAAAAAACAATAAAATCACCTAAATTCTATCAACTAAAGGTAACCACTGTTAATATTTTGGTGTCTGTCCTTGTGTATTATTTTCTACTCTGAGAAAATACATCTGAGACTACATCCAAACCTATTGTCTTATGTTTATTAAATAGAATTTTACCATTCTTTTTGTTGATAATCTGCTTATCTCATTACCCAATGAAAAGCTTATATACATATTTTTAACTTTAATTTTATTATTTTGGGGAATTTTTTGTACTTGGTACAAAATTTGAAAGGTAGAAGAAAATGTATATATACACAGTGAAAAGTCTTTCCCTACTGTGCCCATGCCCCAGTCTCCCTCTTCCCCACAGCCGATTTCCTAGTCTACTTATCCCATCACTGTCTCTGCATCATTGCACTTCTAGGTTGAGTCTAGTTTTTTTCTGATTATCAACAACACTGTGGTGAACCTCCTTGGTATAAATTTTTGACAATTTAGAAATTTTTTCTTCAGGATCAATTCTCTTAGAAATAAGTTATCTGGCTATTCTGGGCACACTTCTATACCCTGCTCTACAAGGAGCAGTGAAAAAAAAAAGAGAGAGAGAGAACGCTTTAATTCCATCCAGATAATGTTGGATGGCTTGGGACCACCTGGCAGTGCTTTGCTGCTTTTCTGTGCTGCAGTGGCTATGGAGTGAGCAAGGCTCCTCAGTGAGCTATTTCTATAGGAAGCACAATTCTGGATGGTATGTTAGTGGCTGGGGAAGCGTAAAGAGGGTTAACAATGATAAGAAACCTCTACCCCCTCCCCTTCAGCTGTCTGATTTCTCTCCCTAAAGGTAGGCCATTGTTTCTTGGATCCTTCTTCAAAGATACACATGCATATAAAAGCACATACAGGCCAGGCAGGGTGGCTCATGCCTGTAGTCCTAGCACTTTGAAAGGCCAAGGCGGGCAGATCACTTGAGCCCAGGAGTTCAACACCAGCCTGGGCAACACAGTGAGACCCCCATGTCTACAGAAAATAAAAAAATCAGCTAGGCGTGGTGTTGCGTGCCTATAGTCCCAGCTACTCGGGAGGCTGAGGTGGGAGAATCACTTGAACCTGGGAGGTCAAGGCTGCAGTAAGCCGTGATCATACCACTGCACTTCAGCCTGGGTAACAGTGAGACCTTGTCTCAAAAAACAAAACAAAACAAAACAAAAACAAAAAACAACACACATACCAGTATATAGCCTTAAAAAAAAAAAAAAGAAAAGAAAAAAGAAATGGTAGTATACCACATACATTGTTTTATACCTTCCTTAACTTTTTTTTTGAGAGTCTCACTCTGTCGCCTAGGCTGGAGTGCAGTGGTGTGATCTCGGCTCACTGTAACCTCCGCCTCCCAGGCTCAAGTGATTCTTCTGCCTCAGCCTCCTGAGTAGCTGGGACTGCAGGTGCCCGCCACCACATCTGGCTAATTTTTATATTTTTAATAGAGTCGAGTTTTCCCCATGTTGGCCAGGCTGGTCTTGAACTCCTGACCTCAAGTGATCTGCCCACCTTGGCCTCCCAAAGTGCTGGGATTACAGGCATGAGCCACTGTGCCTGGCCTACACCTTGCTTAACTTTGTAACCCTGGCAATTGTTCCATGTTAGTATTTGTAGCACTGTCTCATTCTTCTCAAAAGTCGGAGAATATTCCATTTTATGAGTGTCCATAATGCCTAACGGGTCCTCTATTGATGGACATTTTCAATTTTTTCAATCTTTAGCCTTTATAAACGGTGCTATAGTATCTATATACCTATGTTATTGAGACATTTGTAATATATTTGTAAGATAAATTTCAAGAAATGGAATTATGTGCTAAAGCGTATGTACGCTTTAAAATTTTGGTAGATATTGGTGAATTGTACCAATTCCTATTCCTGTGACTGATGTATGAGAGCACATATTTCTCTACATACTTGTCAATACCATGTTAACAGCTTTGATTTTGCCCACCTGACAGTGAAATACATCTCACTGAAGTTCATTTGGGTGAGCATTTCATAGGCTAAAGAGTGATTTATTTTTCTTTCTATCTGAACTGGCCATTCATGTCCTTTGTCCAGTCTCCCATTTGTATTATCCATTAAGGAAATTAGCCTATCTATGATGTCTGGCAAATATTTTTTTCCTGGTTTGTCCTTTGTGGATAAATTAAGCACAGCCATCTGTTTTCTTAAGACCTTGAGTCGTTCTGTTTGGGGACATGGAGAGCCAGACCCTTGGGTGAACTGTTTCTCCACATAGGCCCTAGGAAGCAAGCTCTCTCCCTCCCTGATGTGATGTATGAGGGAAGGCTCAAGGCTCAATTCTGTGTGCAGCTGACCTAAGGGAAGCTGTAAGCTGTCACGCTCCAGACTGACATGACTCTGTATAGTGTAGATGGGTCTCTGTCCTCAAGAAGGTCCCAGTCTCTTACAGGAGATAGGAAGTGGCCTCTTAATACAAAGAGCCCTACAAAAGACCTCCCCCCATTAAATTTTTTTCAATATATATTTTTTAATGGTGCAGTCTCAGCTCACCACAGCCTCCACCTCCCCAGGCTCAACTGATGCTCCTACCTCAGCCACCCAAGTAGCTGGGACTACAGGTGTGCGCCACTGCACCTGGCTAATTTCTGGAGTTTTTTTTGTAGAAACAGGGTTTTGCCATGTTGCCCAGGTTGGTCTTGAACTTCTGGGCTCAAGCAATCCGCCTGCCTCGGTCTCTCAAAGTGTTGGGATTACAGGCATGAGCCATCATGCCTGGCCAAAGATGTATTTTTTAAGTGACAAAAAAAATCTCTTTGTGGCCAGGCAAGGTGGCTCACACCTGTAATCCCAGCACTTTGGGAGGCCGAGGCAGATGAATCACGAGGTCAGGAGTTCGAGACCAGCCTGGCCAACATGGTGAAACCCTGTCTGTACTAAAAATACAAAATATTAGCCGGGCTTGGGGGCACGCGCTTGTAATTCCAGCTACTTGGGAGGCTGAGGCAGGAAAATCTCTTGAACCTGGGCAGGCGGAGGTTGCAGTGAGCCAAGATCGTGCCACTGCACTCCAGCCTGAGAGACAGTGGGAGACTCTGTCTCGAAAAATAAATAAATAAATAAATAAACAAAGCTCTTTGTAAAAAAGAACACCTGTTTGTCTGTTTTCACCTAGGGAGCTGAGCACATAACGACTTACACATTCAATACTCACAAAGCCCAGCACACCTTCTGTAAGAGATGTGGCGTTCAGAGCTTCTATACTCCACGCTCAAACCCTGGAGGCTTCGGTGAGTAATGGGGATGGACTGCAAGCTCAGGGGGACACAGAGAGGCCCGTGGTGCTCTCACTTAAAGTCTTGGTTGGACAGGGGGACACTGACTAGACCCTGTCACATGCGTATCTTAGAGGAACAGGGCTCCTCAGCAGAGCGCTTTCCACGTGATAGAATGTGAGTTGGGCTCTGGTGAAACTTGTCTGAATCCCATATCTGAATGTGGTGAAGTTGGACTTGGAGCCCATCCAGGTTGTGATTCTCATTCACTGGTGCTGCCAGAGCTGGTGTTGCTGGGGATCGTGTTGAAGGGTAGGGAGTAGAGGGGTGGGGAGATGGGCTTGTGGGGCCAGGGGAGGCAGGTTTAATAATGACAGGGGTTAAGGGAGTGAAGGAGGCAAGATTGGGGAGCATTGATAATGCCATTTGAAAGCTTTTTGGTTGTTCAAAAATTAGGCAGGACTGGCTGGCTGCGGTGGCTCACACCTGTATCCCAGCACTTTGGGAGGCCAAAGTGGGAGGATTTCTTGAGCTCAGGAGTTTGAGACCAGCCTGGGAAACATAGCAAGACCCTATCTCTGTTCTTTCTAAAAAATAAACAAGCAGGGGACCCTCCAAGCCCCGCTTCAGGGCCTACTTGGGTCTGACAGTTGTTGAGAATCATACCAATTGTAGTGTGAATTGAAGGGGAAAGCAGAGGTGGAAGATGTTCCTGAGGACTCTTGTTCTCTGTGTCAGTGCAGCCTCCAGAGCTGCGAGAGCAGCTGTGACTGTCAGTGTCTTTTGCTCTATGTCAGTGTCTTTTGCAGAGGGGTGCATGGTGTCATCCTTACCGCACCCCCATTGCTTCAGGGGCTCTGTTCCTCATCTGTCACATGGAGACTCATTCCTGTCTACCTCGCAGAACAGGAAAGAGTTTTGAAAAGTATGAAATCTTGTACAAATGGGAAGACATTTAATTCTTAGAAAGTTATCTATCTAAGGCCAGGCGTGGTGGCTCACCTGAGGTCAGGAGTTAGAGACCAGCCTGACCAACATGGAGAAACCCTGTCTCTACTAAAAATACAAAATTAGCCAGGCTTTGGTAGTGCACACCTGTAATCCCAGCTACTTGGGAGACTGAGGCAGGAGAATCACTTGAACCCGGGAGGCAGAGGTTGCCAAGAGCCAAGATCACACCATTGTACTCCAGCCTGGGCAACAAGAGCTAAACTCTGTCTCATAAAAAAGGAAAGAAAGTTGTCTGTCTAAACACAGGAAAGGCCTGTGAATTCTTTAGGCTGCCAGTCAGAGATTGCTCTGGGCTGTGCCTTTCTGCATGTTGTACTGTCAGCTTGGTATTGAATGATGTCTAGCCTTGGCCATCCCTGGTTCAGGGAGTGTGATTCCCATCTGGCAGCTGAGGAAAGCGAGCCAGAGGGCTGAAGCGGTAGGCTAGAGCCAGTGCTTTCCGAGCCAGCTGGCAGCCTGTGGGTCTCATCGCTGAAGCCATAAGCTGTGGCATATCCTTTGGAATCCCTAATGTGTAGCATGATGATGCCTGCAGGTGGGAGCTTATCCAGGAGCCAGTACACCATCTGGTCTCACTCATACTGAGGATCCCTCTTTGTCTGTGCCACTTTCTCCTAGGAATCGCCCCCCACTGCCTGGATGAGGGCACTGTGCGGAGTATGGTCACTGAGGAATTCAATGGCAGTGATTGGGAGAAGGCCATGAAAGAGCACAAGACCATCAAGAACATGTCTAAAGAGTGAGCTTCTGCCTCTCCTGCCCTGAAAAGGAGGAATGATTGGGGCCAGCAACTTTGCTTTCCTTGCCGTGCCTCGGTGGTGCTCCTGAATGTGGCTGACCTGGGCTGCTGGTTCCGTTGACTAGGGCCATCTTGATCTCTGCAGTTTGCTCCAGCTACCAGTTTCTTTAGGCAGCTCTTTGTCCTCCCTCTGCCCAGATTTTGATGTAGTCTAGTTGACATCCTTCTCTTCCCAACTTTTGTGTGATCTTTTAGGAAAAAAAAATAAATATTTTTAACATTAAAGCAGTTACTTTGGTTTATCATTTCTTTTGTACTGTGATTTGCTTCTGAGGCCAGTCGATTAATAGCAGATATGTACTCAGCACTATCAAGATGTTTGCAACCAGGCATTGTGGCTTAAGCCTGTAGTTCCAACAGTGCAAGGAACAGTGGTCTGAGAAGTGAGTGGAAGCTTCGGCCTCTGCCTCGGCCCGTGAAAAGGAGGAAGTGATGTGGGGGGCGCAGCAACTTTGCTTGGTTCGCCTGGTGCCGGATTGGCCGTGCGGCGGGGGGTGCTGCCCTGGAAGTGATGGGCTGGTACCGTGGGGGGGCTGCTGGTCTCGCAGTTGACTAGGGGCATCGTGATATCTGCAGTTTGCTGCCAGCGGTACCAGTGGTGGTCGCTGTGTAGGCAGCTCGGTTTGGCCTGGCCCGGTGGGCTGTTGGCCGGGGGGGGCAGAGTGTTTGTGGGGAGGTCGGTGGAGTTGTAGGGTTGGAATCCGTTGCGGTGCTTGTTGCTCGAGATCTGTTGTTGGTGTTGATGTCGTGTTGTAGGAAGGAAGAATATGATGGTCAGGTGTGGGTGGGTAGGGAGCAGTGCGGGGAAGGCAGGTGTAACTTTGTTACAGATTGGGTGTTGGGTTGGCTGTGGGGTGGTGTAGCGCGGGGGGTGAGTTGTGCGTGTCGTGAGGGCGATGGGCGAGGATGGTGCGGTTAATGGGAGGGGCGCACATGAGTGGGGTAGCCGGGGGGTGTGGGGGGGTGGGGTCAGCGCAGCGTATCAAGGTGTTTTGGGGGTATGTGTTGTCTATAGCGTCGAAGTTTGCTATATTGTGGCGTAAGCTGTAGGTTGCGAACGTAGTCCTGGGGGAACGGGTTGAGTTCGAAGGGGCCCGAGAGGGGGGTTTGAGGCCGTGGGGGTGGGGTGGGGCAGTTGGAGGCTGTGGGTTGGGCGCGGCGCATATCTGGGGCGTGGGGACTGCCCCTGGGGTGGGAGGTGTGGGCAGGGAGATGTGAGACTCGTCTCAAAGAAAAAAAAAAAAAAAAAAAAGAAGCTGTTGTAGCAAATTGGAAAAGAAGACAGTAACCATTTGTCTTTTTTTGTCTTTTTTTGTTTTTTTCTTCTTCTGATTTTTTGGAGACAGACGGATCCTCGCTCTGTCGAGGTCCCAGGCTGGAGTGCGCAGTGGCCGGATCTCAGACTCACTGCAAGCTACGCCTCCCCGGGCTTCAAGGCCATGTTCCTCCTGCCTTGAGCGCGGTGCCGGAGTAACTGGGAACTACAGGCCTCCCGGCAAGAGTCCCGCCCACCGATCGAGCCCGGCGAGTGTTTTTGTGTATCTTTCTGGTAGAGAGACGGGGCTTTCACCAGGGTGTAGCCAGGCATGGTCTCGTCTCCTGAACGCGCGGAGTGAGCCGCCGGCCGTGCTCGGCCGTCGACCAGAGAAGTGCTGGGATTACAGGCTTGAGGCCAACAGCGTGCCAGGCCCAACAGTGTATTGAAAGAAGGAAGTTAGGTGGCAGGCATTGGTGAGCGTCCAACAGCCTTTGTAAATCTCGCGCAGCACGTTTATGGGAGGCTGAGGGCGCGGTAAGGATTACTTGGAGGTCAGGGAACGTTCTCGAGGACAGGCCCTGGCGAAGCGAGTGGTTGAGCACACGGGGGCTGTCTCTATAAAATTACAGGAAAATTAGCGTTGGCATGTGAGAGTGTGGATGCTGTAGTGACCCAGCTACATTGCCGAGGCTAGAGGCAGAGAGAATCCACACTTGGAGAGCGCGTGAGAGAGCAGAGGTTTGCCAGTGAGGTGAAGAGATTGCGCCTGCACGCCAGCCTGGTTGATGCGAGCGAGCTCCATCCTCAAAAAGAAAGAAAGAAAAAAAAAGCTGGAGCACCGATCCGGCTACACCTGTCATGCGACAAAGCAGCGGGTTTGGGAGGGCCGAGCAGTGGATCACCTGCGGTCGGGTTATTTGAGACCGGCTGGCCCACGCATGGGGTGAGGATAGCGCCGCCATTTGCTACTAAAATAAGCATTACCGACCTGTGTGGGGTGGTGGGCGCTTGTATCCCGCGTACTCGGAGCCTGAGCGGCAGGACTGCTTCTGAACCCAGGACGGCGGACACGAGTGTAGGTGCCGCCAAGTCTGGCGCCGCACTACGCACTCCAAGCGCTGGTCGACAGGTACTAAGACGTGCCGTCTCAAAGAAAGAAAAAAAAAAAAAAACTGTGAGATACCGGGTTCTACGACCTCCTCTCACGGCTGTAAACGGATAGATAAGGAGCGTCTGACCAGAGTTCAAAAGCGGAGAGAACATTCAGGAAGCACCTGCTGAGGAGACAG